AGAGGACATATATAGAGGTCATACATATAGAGGTCACATATAGAGGTCATACATATAGAGGACACATATAGAGGTCATAAATATAGAGGACGTCATACAGAGGACATACATATAGAGGACACGTATACAGGAAACACATAAAGTAGACACATATAGAGCACATAAATATAGAAGACGTCATATAGGGGACATAATGTACATATAAAGAGGACACATATAGAGGACACATATAGAGGTCATAAATATAGAGGACGTCATACAGAGGACATACATATAGAGGACACATATAGAGGTCATACATATAGAGGACACATATAGAGGTCATACATATAGAGGTCACATATAGAGGTCATACATATAGAGGACACATATAGAGGTCATACATATAGAGGACACATATAGAGGTCATACATATAGAGGACACATATAGAGGTCATAAATATAGAGGACGTCATACAGAGGACATACATATAGAGGACACGTATACAGGAAACACATATAGTAGACACATATAGAGCACATAAATATAGAAGACGTCATATAGGGGACATAATGTACATATAAAGAGGACACATATAGAGGTCATACATATAGAGGACACATATAAAGGTCATACATATAGAGGACACATATAAAGGTCATACATATAGAGGACACATATAAAGGTCATACATATAGAGGACACATATAAAGGTCATACATATAGAGGTCACATATAGAGGTCATACATATAGAGGACACATATAGAGGACATACATATAGAGGACACATATAGAGGTCATAAATATAGAGGACACATATAGAGGTCATAAATATAGAGGACGTCATATAAATGACGACATACATATAGAGGATACATATAGAGGACATTCATATAGAGAGCCCTCATATCGAGGACACATATAGAGGACATACATATAGAGGAAAAACAGACGATAAATCGCCATGCAGCAGCCGGGACTCAAAGGAAAAGTTTCTGGATTCATCATCCAGCTGGTCCATTATGCTAACACCTACACCACAGCGACCGCTGCGTTTTTTTCGTGCTAATTGACCTTATATATTTAAGTTATTTTTACTTTTATTTATAGAGGCCATACATACATTATATAGAGGACTTACAATTAGAGGATAGGACATACGTAAAGAGGAACGCATCATATGCTCTCCATACAGCCAAAACTAAGTAAATTTCTTGTAAGATAAGTTCTCGGAATTATTCTGGGGGCTTAAAAGGACATATGCGAAATCCAGCATTTGTCGACAGGTGACCTTAAGGTTCACTTTAAAAGTAATAAACAGTTGAAGAAAACAACACTAGCAACAAAGAAATCAATCGAGATATTTGGAAACTGGTTCCAGAGGCTACAAAATTCTCGTCAACAAAATAAATGAACGTATTCTAAACAGACACAGTAACAATATCATATAATAAATTAAACTATGTGAATTTTCATTAGCACTGTTGCACAAATCATCGTCATCACAACAATTTTTACGAACACAACCACGTGATGTTTTTAATTGTTTCGTGCAATTTACAAAGTCATTTCTTTCCATGCAGTTATGAGAGCATCCCCGAACAGTAGATGTATGTAAGGCAATGAATTCTCCATCATCATTCTCTTCCTCCATTTCAAAATAAACTTTCTGAAATATTCAACGTAGTGAATCACTATTTCTTACAAAAATATACGAAAGACCGATGGGGGCATTTCAACTTCATAAATTCCCGATTTCAGCTTCATGAATTCTCGATTTCAACTTCAAGAATTCACGATTTCAACCTCATGAATTCACGATTTCAACTTCACGAATTCACAAAATGAAGTTGAAATCGCGAAGTTGAAATCGTGAATTGATGAAGTTGAAATCGTGAATTGATGAAGTTGACATCGTGAATTCGTAAAGTTGAACTCATGAATTCACGAAGTTGAACTCGTGAAGTTGAAATCGTGAATTCATGAAGTTGAAATCGTGAATTCCTTAACTTGAAATCGTGAATTCATGAAGTTGAAATAGTTGAAGTCGTGAATTCATGAAGTTGAATCGTGAATCGTGAATTCCCTATTTTGAAAATGGGAATTCACGAAGTTTTAATTGTAAATTCATGAAGATGAAATCGGGAATTTATGAAGTTGAAATGGCCCTACCGGTCTTTCGTAAAAGTACGCAACAGCTAAATGTAAATGTTGTTCAAACATGCCTTGCTAAAAGTTTACAAATAAAATGTATATACATATAGATATGTATTTCTCATAATTCATAAACTGAATAAGCTGATTAAGCGAAACACAATTAGATTTTTAAAACTTTTTTATTCAGCGAATTTATTCTTAGGAAAAACAGTACGATTTATTTACACCACGGATACTGTAATACCTATGACACTGTTATACAGCCATGTCAGTCTGATTTAAATCAGCTTCTAATTAACACTACATGCAAAATATAACATAAGTCGATATTAACTTCAGTCATATTGACAGCCGTGTTTAAATTAGTATACATTCACTCTGTCAAAGCGGAATTTTTGACTGGATAATTTTTAGCTTTGAAATCCGCCCTCAAACAGGCCTAATTAGGAATGAAGGGTGAGTCCATTATAATTACAAATCAATGAACATCTTACCTGACATGATTGTCCAGCACTACATAATTTTTCGGAAGCTTTATAATTATCACTGGGGTCTTTAGAACAGTCGTCTGCCACGCAATGCCAACAGTGCAATTGCTGACCATTCACTAAAAGGAAAAAAAATAAATTGAAATGAAGTTCATTTTCTTTTTAAAATCTAAACTAATTTGCAGATAATGAAGAATTTATTACACGTGATATCTATAATCTATTACAACAAATGTATGCTTAACATATAAATACAAACATACAAATAGATGTATAATTTTAGCAAGCCGCATAATCCAAAACTTTATGACAAAAATATAATTATACAAAAAACGTAATTTGAAAGTGTATAAGTTTAATGATTGTTGTTTCAGTATACAATATTTAGGATAGAAAGGTTTATTTCATGTTTCATGGTGACATTTTCTTTTTACTGATCTCAAAGCACCGATTTCATACATCTGTTAGAAATTGAAAGGTACTAATTTAATTTAATTATTGAAAAATTAACATTATTATATAGAAATATTTCATAAAACAACGTCTAACGTTGAAACTGTTTGGTAAACAAAATGCTTGACATTATTTAAGTTAATTATATTTGGCAATAAGCTAAGGTTAACAATGCAAACAATGGTATACTCACCTACATAGAATGTACATACTGCTAACACTATGATCAGAATTATCTTGTTAATCTTGTTACCGGCATAAGTAGCAAGAAATCATTGAATCCTACAGGTCCATCATGCAGTGTTCTTTATATTGAAAACCTGTAATTGAAGTTACTTTCCAATTAATGTTAATTAAAAATGTAAAAACAACCAGTAATTCAAGTTGCCGACGGTTATGTAGTCTGGATATGATAAATATAAGACCCGAGTTTGCTAGGTTTATATTTATGTTAGAAAGGCTATATTTCGTCATTACTTGTGAAACGATTTATAATAACGCAAATTGTTTATGGAAAAAAAAAAAAAAAAAAACAACAACAACAAAAAAACAGCAACTTATATATTGCCACAAGTAGTGCGTTATCAACTGCCAAGTTAACGCTGCGCAATAAAAATAAGTATAAAGTCATCATTGTGGTGAAATTTTCAACAATTTGAAGTTTATGACATTTGAATCATAACACATGCATTTGACATGTTTGAAGTAATGTGGAATTTTGTACATTCTTCGGTTCTTCAAGGTACATGCAGGATAGTATACAAAGTGGAATTCGAGAATATTTTTTCATTATTATAAAATATTTACATGTATAAAGATAAGAAATCAAATTGGTTTTTCAAGGTTGATTCAGTCATGTACGTTAATATACATACCTGAATCAACATCAAAATCATTTAAGTAAACGGCATATTGAAGTTATACAAACTGTCAATATTGATTTGGCATAAATGTTATGATACGATATAAATCAGATCTGAAAACCTACAAGTTTTTGTTAAATATGATAATTTTATCATTTAGCAGAATCATTTTTAAGAACTAAGTGTTATTTAACCAATTTATCCTGAATTTAACAATAAGAACTGAATCACATTACATGTTAATATCATCTTACTCGAAATTTGTTTTTCTAAAATATTTGCACAACTTGTAAACACTATTAATGAATACTATTCCGATAGTTTTCTTAGACTTTACGAGTTTGAATGGAAATATGATAAACAAGATTAACAAGGAAAGGCGGCGTTCAATGAACGCAACCCACACACGACCCAGCAACAAGAACCAGTGGCAAGGAGCCCAGGCGGACCCAACAAAAACAGGACAAGGCACGGACAGGTTAATCACTAAAATGATAAATGATTTGTAACTAATATAAGGAAATCAAAGAAAACCGTTTTCTTATTTTGCGTACTTTGTGATATATTTTGCATGTTATGTCGTTCAGATGTTTCTATTTAAATACTTTAATCTAAGGCCGTTGCTATATTTATAGCAAAGCGCAATAAAATGCAATTGTAATAAATATTTTAATGTAATATATTAATAATTGTTGATCTCTGACAGAACACGTGTTTCCTAGATGTGCCAGACATGAGAAAAATGGTAGGAATAAATGTTTTGACATAATTGTTTTATAATATGAGAACAGAGTTCAAGTGAAGAGCAATTAATGTTTTGATAATAATTTGTATTAGATGCATGATCCATTTTTATCGACCATATTTCACAAAACTTCAAAACCACTATAAAACGTTATAATATAAATATTTTATTTTGCGTGAAAAAAAAACATAAAAAAAATTTTCAGCATTGTAATTGTTCGTGTTACTTGAAAATTAAACCTGTCTTTTTTGTACAATATAATATAAGTCATAAACATGTGAAGAACATTATTACATAACAGCATTATATCTACCTTGTTATGGCATGATCTTTAAATCACACTTTCTATTAATTATTCCATTTCTCATTAATACTTTTAAATCTTCTAAAAAACTGTAATATTTTAAACTCATATGCCTTTGAAATAATATTTGTTACACAATCACGTTACACATTACTAGCTCACTACGTTAGAAAACCTGTTAACAGGAATGTTGTTTGTTATAACAAGATAATTCTTATCAGCACTATATGTTAGATACACGCTATTGCCTGCCTAGTTACACGATCATAATTCAAGATAGGAATTTTAATAGCTCATTTCAATAATGTTAGAAAGTATTCCTGCAGTCAGTCAAACAGTAGGCAGTCGAACGCTTATCAAATTATTCACGGTTTATACTCCACATTCTCTGAAGATACTTTTTACAAGGTAGGATAAGTTACATAATATATTAGAGTGTTCGACAAAGCAATGAATATACAAACAACATCTCACAACACATATTAGTATGCTTGAATACACTACATATAGATACGAATACAATGTATATACCATTCTGTATAGTATATGTTGCTGAAGTGAGTGACCTTCAGGCCAATTACTCGGGCATACACAATATACAAAATTGCTAATGATGTTAATGATTTACTTGTTCATTTGAACTTTCTATACAAAATGTTGATTATAAAAGTAATTTCATACATATAAAACATAATGGTAAAAGAAGTGAATAAGGGGTAGATCCCTCGAAAGAACCTAAAGAAATTAAAAAGTGAACATTGCATACTCGATTGTTGTTTGAGTCTATTTAATAAAAATATGAGAGATAATGATAGGTGCTCTGTCACGCACCCTTGCACCGCATAAAAATTACTCGGGTTTCAACATTTATCGGATTGAAATCAATCATCCCCAAATTAAAATGCATTGAGATGAAGTCAGCCTATCAGTGCTCTTATATTAATTTTACTTTTATGTTAAAGCAGCACACCTCCAGATTCATGCTAACTTTCATGAAAATTTTGAAAATGTATTTGAATGTATAATATTGTGACGTAACAAAAAGGAATCAATTTAAACATTATCCATGACACTTACAAACCACGTGAATTACCAAAAAGTGGTAAAATGTGCATAAATAGCCTTCACTGCGTTAGTAACACAGTAGAATATAGTTGTAAATGCTGAAAAAATCAGTCATTAAATCGCACATAATTATGTAAATTACTACCTGAATCTAGAAACTTTTTACTTTTTCCGTACATCTTAGTACATTTTTCTCAAGTTTGATTTTATTGAAATATTTAGACTCATCTTGAGACATGTAGCTTTAAAACTCATTTATTTAAGATGGCGATTTTTTACTGCGTCCTTGGAAAAGATTGAGAGATAAACAGTACTATTTACTAATATGATTGAAGTAGAAATAATTGGCATAAAGATGCAATTAAAAAACAGTTAGTTTCTAACTGTTTAACATACATTAATGCATGTTTCCTAATGTAAACCATTTATAAAGAGAGATAACTTCTTATTTTTTTAAATACAATTCTTACCGATAGAGTTTGTCGTATCCCAAGAAACGAACATAGTTGTTGTCAATTGAAAAATACATGCAGTGTTTTAGTTTAATTTATTATTTTAAGGGGAAAGTTATCGATGTTAAGATATATTCAAGTATCAAATAGTGTTTCTAGTGGTTATTACCTGCTGCATTTCTTCGTAACGTTCATATAGACAGATAACTTCTTTTTAATCATGTAATGCAAACTATACTGAAGTAGAATTTGAATAGATTAAGAGAACTGATAGATTATATGACAGGTCACGTGTGCTTTAAAAGCATTCCTTGGCTCTGTCTAAACTGAAAGACATATTATTAATACATACATGTACATTTGAGAAAAAACGAAATACTTATAAATTATCAAAACAACTTCGATGATTGAAATAGCTGTTTTTGGGGGTGTGTATGATTATTCTTAGTGCAAGAAAAATAATATGTTGTACATCTAGCGCGAGAAATCAATCTCCTTTTTCCTGATGTTTAAACAAATCAAAATTGAAAGTCAATGCTTTGAAAACTTTTTCACATATAGATACACACTTTTGTTTTTAATATAGATCTATGGGAATTTTTTAATGAAATAACAATACTTTATTCTTTAGTGATTATACTGCTATATAGTTGTGATAATATCACATTTTAATTGAAATTTCAGACATTCTGAACTTGTAAGAAAAGAGACGGACACAAGTTTTGTACTAAATTGGTTCTTTGCGTGGTTTGACCAGAAGGTTTGATTCTTCATATATTTCAGACAGCTAAGAGACCAGATATCATGTTTGTACTGTGGCACAGAGGTGACATTTGTGTTTTTTATTTCTCGTGCGCACGAGATACTATGTCATGCGCACCAGTTAGTATGTGTTGCGCACGAGATACTATGTCATGCGCACCAGTTACTATGTGTTGCGCACGAAATACTATGTCATGCGCACCAGTTACTATGTGTTGCGCACGAGATACTATGTCATGTGCACCAGTTACTATGTGTTGCGCACGAGATACTATGTCATGCGCTCCAGTTACTATGTGTTGCGCACGAGATAATATGTCATGCGCACCAGTTACTATGTGTTGCGCACGAGATACTATGTCATGCGCACCAGTTACTATGTGTTGCGCACGAGATACTATGTCATGCGCACCTGTTACTATGTGTTGCGCACGAGATACTATGTCATGCGCACCAGTTACTATGTGTTGCGCACGAGATACTATGTCATGCGCACCAGTTACTTTGTGTTGCGCACGAGATACTATGTCATGCGCACCAGTTACTATGTGTTTGCGCACGAGATACTTTGTCATGCGCACCAGTTACTATGTGTTGCGCACGAGATGCGCACCCAATTACTATGTCATTTTCGCAAAACCCGTTACTTTGTGTTGCGCACGGATACTATGGGCATGGCCCACCAAATTATAAAGTGTTGCGAAAGAAAAATACTAGGGCATGGGGCACCAGTTAATTTTTGTTGCGCCGAGAAAACTATGGGCATGGCGACCAGTTTTCTATTGGTTTTTCGCACGGGGAAAACTATGTCCCTTTGGGACCCGTTAAATATGTGTTGTGGGGCCCAGATACTTCAGTCGTGCCCCACAACAAAATTAACTAAACAGATTACACTATTTCAATAAAAACGCTCAATTTAAAAATTAAACCCTTGGGCCGGACAAAAATAGTCTTAATTGCGGTTTAGGTCTTAAAATTGTGGATATTTTGAAAATTCCCTTCAAAACCAATGACCCTTGGGCTTTTTTTAAAAAAACAATGTGAATCTTAACCTTCAAATACAGTATTAAAGTAAGTTATGATATTTAATTTGATGGAAGCAAACATATTTCTGAAGAAATTTAATATAAAATTCTCTTTATTGTTGCAAACAAGAAAAATGCATTTATTAACTAATAATATCAAGTTTGATTGTCGGAAGTAAATAAAACATTGTATTTCTTGCCTTATAAAATTTAACAAATGAGTTTTCAGTGCTTTCACCGATATAAGTCATAATTTGATAAAATGTGATCAATTAAGCCTGCTTTACACTGAGTCAAAAGGAAACTAGAAATGTCTAAATAGGACACGGGTGCCCCCACCGCGCCACTGTTCTGTCAATCTTATGACTCTAGGTCAAATTATTTTTTTGAAAACTAAAAATCTTTTACTAAGTAAAGGGCAAGAACTTTACAAATACTGAATAAATCCACAAGCAAACCCAATGTGCATAAGTACACATGCTGACCAACATTCTTGTAAACTTTCAGGCCTACAAGTGAAATACTTTTTGAGCTATGCATGAACAAGTTGAAAATTGCAAATTTATACTACTGTAAGTCAAGGGCAATAACTCTAACAAAACTGAAAAAAATCCATATGCAAAGTCCCAGGTGCATAATTTCACAGTGATGTGAATCATTATTCCTGTAATTAAGTGATGATGATCATTATTCCTGTAAAGTTAGTTGATTCTAACTCAAGCACTCAAGGAACAAATAACAACATAATGAAACGATTTTTGCAAAGTCAAGGGAAATAAATCTACAAATACTGGATAAATCCACAAGCGAAACCCCAAGTGCAAAACTAAATATGCTGAGCAACCTTCCCGTAAGGTTAAATGACTCTATGTCAAATCCTTTTTGAGTTACATGCGACACAAGTTGAAAATTGCAAAAAAATTCTAAGTCAAGGGCAATAACTCTAAAAATACAAAATAAATCAAGACGAAAATACCCAGGAGCACAACTACACATGCTGATCAACATTCGACTCTAGGTTAAATACTTTTTGAGGTACATGCGACACAAGTTGAAAATTGCAAAATTTTAATAAATGAATAGCAAAAACTCTAAAAATATCCAGACGAAAATACCCAGGTGCACAACTACACATGCTGATCAACATTCCTGTAAAGGTTCATGACTCCTGGTGAAATACTTTTTGAGTTACGTGCGACACAAAAGAGAACGGACGGACGGACAAGGGTAAATCTAAATGCCCGCCACTAAATTGGGGGCACAAAAATCAAACTTAATTAATATTGTACTCCATCTACCCTCATAATCATTTTCAGAGTAACCTCCATATTAAATCCATATTTTTCTCCACCTTGCTGCGTTTGCTAAAAAAATCCATATCAGTTACATACTGTATCAAAAGTAGCACATACGTATAAACACAAATTTTAAGTTTTATTTATATTATTCATAAATTACCGTGGGATAATTAAAATTATCGCGCTTTTGGTACTGCTGTTGAAAAAATGCGGGCATACACGCCTGATATAATAAATAATGTATTTCAAAAGGTGTTCCCTTTTTCACAAGAAGAAGTTTTTGATATCCAGTATCAACATATCTAATTGTAAATATCAAATTCTAACACTCGCTTGATTTTGTCACTATAGACAAAGAAGGAAAAAAGCTGGTGTTAAACTGTCAATAAACACCGGTAAGGGACTACTTGTATATGAGCTATTATGCGAAATAATATCTCACATACACTAACGCCATATATTAGATCCATATTAGTTAATAAATATTTTGACAAAACGGCGCCAATCCGTAAGCAGCGTAATGACGTCATCCTAAGTAAACAACTCATTCATAAAGAAGCTGACGTTATTTCATACATACAGGAATGATAAATGGGGCACTGATGTAAACACAATCGACGTAAGTTTTTAATGTTGAAAACTTGATAAAATAACGTTTTTTTTCTTATTATTTCTTTTGTTTAATAATTTAAATATCTTCGCAACAGTAGGATGCGAAAATCGAACAGTGTTATACGAAAATCGGCACCGGAAGTTATTTCCGCTTGAAAAATAACATTAGTGATTTTCCTTATTTTATCGTGTTAGAATCGAAATAACATCGTCCTGAGAGGTGTATATCGGCTATATAACACCGGTTTTGTCGTTTTGATGCGACAAAATTAACCACGGCCTTCGTGGTCAATTCCTACGAATCAAAACTCCAAACTGTTAAATAGCCGATATACACCTCTCAGGACGATGTTATTTCTTAAGTAATTCAATTTGTTGTTATGTATAATTCATCACTTTTTGTATTCTGGTGAGATAATAAATACTTGATTATCATGTTCCTAATGATCCAATAGACAGAAGAATCAATTGATACAAGTTTTAGAAATTCAGCAATTATGTGTAAGGCAAAGATTTCTGAACAAAAAGTAGCAACACATCTTGATTTAAATGATCATTCTATAAATGAGTTTTCATTTATGTCTATTGATGTTAACATGGACCGAAAAATGTTTTGGATTTACAGGTTGAAAAATACTTTAGCCAACTTGACTTAATACTAAATTGTTATTTGATCAACAAAATCTCAATAACTTAAAATTATATAATAACAATGATTATATCTTTATCTTACAACTGTTTTTCTCTCAACAGACTATGTTTTAATACTGTAATGTTTATGTTTAACGTTATCATTCATGACGCAAACGTTGCTTCTTATTACCGGTTTTTATATATTTTAATAAGAGAGAACTTTTGTATTAATAATCAGTATTATTGGCATGGTTTGATACATTTTAACAATTGTTATGATAGGTTTTAGTTTGTCCCTATTGGTGTTACGTTTTTTATGTGACGTTACGTTCGTTGCATTCTGATGAAGCTATTGTAATTAGTGAAACGCGAAAAATAAATGTTGAAGATAAAATACGTGCTTTTGTTTGACTTTTTTTATGTGTAATTAGGTTACATAAAACAAGGTTAAAATTGATTATACTACACCTGAACAAGGTTAAAATTGATTATACCTTTGAATAAACTATTACATTTTATGTTAAACATTAGTCAAATGTATAGCAAGCATTGTGGCTATACATGTTTTATTCATTGCACTTTTAATGCGTATAGAAAACAACACTTTATATAAGAAACCCGAACGTAATTACTGCGTATTAAAGATCCTGTATGTTGTAATTGAGGTTGTATACCACACTTAAATGAAATTATATATCTAAGTAAAATATCTTACTTGCCGTTTATAATCAAAAACGCTTATTTAAATTTGCCGTAGATTTCGGCCTTGCGGCCTTCTTCAGCAGCATTTATTTTACATACAAATATATCAAAACAAAACAATGGAAGTGACGTAACGTCAATGAACGACGCCCGCCGTGGCGTTGTTTGCCATCTGCCGCGTTATTCTTTGGTATTAACTCCATATGGTCTATAGGTTCTTAATTTATTTTTCCAATAATTTTCTATTGTTTTTCTGTATTGGTCATTCCCATATAGCTTTTCTAACCCCATTATTGAAAAATCATTAACTGTGTGGTCGTTCGTGTAAAAAATGTTCCGCTAACGGATCGTTGTACTTGGTTCGTATTCTGGATAAATTTAGAAGGTGTCTTTGGTACAACGTATCCCCTGTTTCTCCAACATAAATATAACGTTCGCAACGCTTACAATTAACTGCATACACCACATTCGCAGATCTGCACCCCCTTCCCCGACCCTCGAATCTCCCCCCTTACACCCTTAACTTGTGTAGGCCTATTAATTAATCGTCTTTTAAATTTTCTTGTATGTTTCTACAGTAGTATTTCCTTTCATGTATAATGAAAGTTATCACCCATTCGTGATTTGCATTGTGCCTGTCCTACTTTTGTTTGGTGTCATGCTTGACTACTTGCCGGTGGTCCTGGGTTGCTTGGTCCTTTTGGGGATGCATTCTTTGAACGCTGCCTTTTCTTGATGATCTTGTTCTTCTATTCCCTACTCTTGGTGAGTTGCTTTCATTTGTATATAGGACATTTTCACAGCATTAGTTATCAAGAAAATTATAGAAGACTTTCTGAAGTAATTCTGTACAACTGAATGTTAACCGCGGTGCAATTTATTTAGCGTGAATTTAACGTCTGATCTCTGAAATACAGGATCCGCAATTTCGCTCATAGCATAAACAGGCTGTTAACAAGTCTTCTTGTGATATCAATGTGTGACTGTTTTTAAAACTCAAATTTCACCGTTGCATGTTTTAAATGTTGAAAACTACTTAGGACGGTGCAAAGGGCGTGGACGCTAGCTTGTAATTACCGTCCATGAATCATGCTCCACTGATAAAATGAACAGGCTCAATCAAACCGAGTCTGCAACATTTTCAATTTTGCCGTGTTGTGCTTTCTTTAGGGATTCTGTATTTATCTATTTTGTCGAAGAGCGGTCTCCAATTTCCCAGCCTACCCCCGTAATAGTGAGATAAAAATGAGCGGGTACGATCACATATAGTGTATATAAAATGACATGGGGGGAAAGAACAACAAGACGTTTCAATACCAAAATAGTTTAATGTCTGCAAATGATTCTTATTTAAATATATTATCATTTTCATGTTTAAATGCTTAACTTAGGCGGTATTTGCACTTACAATAACTGTCAATTAAAATTGCTAAATCATATTAAATAGAGAAAATAAAAATCTCTAAAGAAAGTCCAACACGGCAAAATTGAAAATGTTGCAGGCTCGGTTTGACTGAGCCTTTTAATGGACGGTACTGTCAAATGTAAACTACCGTCCACGCCCCTAGCACCGGCCTAAGCAGAATTCAACATTTAACATTAACTGGTACAATTTCGAATTTTGAAACATCCGCAGATGTGTTCATATGGCGGTTATCACGGAACCTTCAATGTGACAAGTAAGAGCCATTCCATGAAAAGCTGTTTATGGTCCCCAAGTAAAAAATGCGTGTGCCCTGAACGAGAAAACAATGGGCGGAACTAAGTAAAAAATAATAATTTCTGTATTTGACTGTTATGTTATTAGGATTTTAACGTCTACTTTATTCTTTTTTTCGCTTATTTAACGTCTCCTCATCCGCTACAAATATTACATGGAGCTGAAATAATTCAAATTAAAACATAATTTTAACATTTGCTCTGTTTATAAAATACTCTGTATCTGTTTTTTAGCAAGCAGATTTACCTAATATTTTCAAACCTTTCTTAACAATTTTACTGTTAACGATACTACAAAAATAAATTAAACTTACTTAAGTTAACTTATTGATCAGCTTTATTTAAAAAGTCGTATTTAAGTAACTGAAGAATATCTCCTTTGATTTCTATAGGAAAATTAATAAATTACAACATAAAAAATAACACCTACTTCCGGTATTTTCTGTGTAATACCAATTCATGCCAACTACCATTCCAGACTCGACACCGGTTGCTCTGAAGATTTCTTTGGCAATATCTTTCCATGGAGCATTACTTTGATTAACATATCCCAACAGAAAAACGGCTGAAATATGTACCATGTTAACTAAATACTAACACAAAAGTGATGGGCACTTGATGAAAGTTTAATGGCAACAGTATGATAAATTTTCATATTTCTTATCAGCAAACACAACAAATATAATCTTTAGGAGGAAAACATCATACTTATCCTGGTCCCTGTCCGTGCACATTTATTATTTTTTCGAAGGCTGTTACTTGGACATTGTAATCTCAGAATATATTTACTTGGGTAAGGAGACCAGTAGTAATCATATACCGTTTGTCCTGAAATAGATGTAATGTCACTAAATTTAGATGAAATGTAAACTGTGAGGTACTGAAAACTGAATTCGAATCATCGAGTCCAAAAAAATGCTTCATAATACTGGCAAAAGGAAAGTTGCATCGCATTCAAAATTAATATCTTTTTAATAACACCGATCGTCTTTTGATATGTAAGGAATGAGCAACAAACATACACTTAATGCAGCACCCAACAGTACCGACATAACACAGGACCCACAGTTATGCTCATACAGCGTAACAAACAGAAAAGTTGATACAAGGGCGGTGAAAGGACGGAGAAAATCATTTATGATAAATAAATAACATATTATTCAGAAAATATAATGAGTTTATAAAAATAATATTAAGGTTTCTTGGGTAAAAATTAAAAGAGAGGGAAACAGAGACAAGAATGTCTCATTACAAATAAACTATTAAAGACATACAATGCAGGAACAGAAAGACACAAAAAGGCACCGCCGTGGAACAGTCAGTAACAAAACTAACCACAGGAAATTTTTATTGTGCACCAAAGTCATTCCTAGCATACAATGTTCCTCAGAGAAAACATATCGTAAATAAATGAATAACCACAAAGGGGTTTCAAACAACCGTAATCATTTAAACAACATATTTGTACTATATATCTATAACTATATATCAGTTCACCTCTTTTGAGGTACACAAAAGTATGCGGTCTATAAAATCGAAACATGAATTCGTTCAGCTGTCGCATCTAATATGTATCTATCGACTATTAATTTGCAAAATGGATAATTTTATCTGCTAAATATAATGTCAAATTAAACAAATTTGATTTTTAAGCACCTTTTGTTGAATGCTAACAATTACCAATTTTAGCAAAACCAAAAAACCAACAAAATTTGTCGATGAAATATTATAAAAACTTTAAACAGAAATTCCTAACAATTTTGGTAACTTACCATTCGGATCTGTGTATGAAAATGAGATCCTGTTTCCGTCAGCCTCTAGAGTTAATGGGAAGCTATATTCCACGCACATCTCGCAGATTGGATCACTGATTAATACTAATAAATTTATATTATCGTAATATACAACCTTAAGACAACACTAGTTATTCAAAAACATATATCTAGGGTTACAATATTATCAGAATATAATCATCTGGAAAGAATGAAATAAAATTTGATGGTATAAAAGTCATATTACATGACGTTCTAAATAAAATATAAAAGTTGATTTTGCACTTACATTCCTGTGCAAACTCGCTGGTAGTTGCCTTTGGTCGCGGTAACCCTACAGTTGTAATTTTTGGAGACAGCAAACGGTGGTGGGTTGGGCAGCAAGATATATGCTTCTTTTAAACTTGCACCTACAACCTAAAACAAAGAAAATAGTTACATAACATCCTGACATTATTATTTATCATATATGTAATAAGTAATTCATTATTTGCTTTACAATGAATTAAAACACGTGTCTGTAAAGTATGTATTGCAGCAATGTTGGTTGGAAAATGATATACTCAACATCATTAATTCCGCGTCATCACTATTTTCACGATAATGGCATATTTTTATGTAACCAGTGTTAAAATTGGTCAGAATTGACTTATTTTATTCAAACACCTAAACAACAAAGTTTTTGTGCAAAATATTTAAAATCTCTAGATTTTTATGTAAAACAGAACAACTTTTTACAAAATTCTGCAAAAAGCAACAATAGTATGTTAAATTTGTGCACACGTCTGAAACAAGCATCATTTTCTAAATGTTCTTGTTTCTTGAAAAAATAAATTTTGAGTTACAATGTAAAGATACTTTTAATATTTAAAATCATGCAAAATAACATGTAGAAATTCTAACTGAAACATGAAAAAACTGAAATAAAACACCATTACCGCGATCTAAATGATGATATACTGTTTTCAAAATGGCCGACATATGGTCTACGTCTGGCTCATTTAAACTGATTTTGACTAAATTTATTGGTGTTTCCTTAGGTCATACAGCAGAAAATACCTATATGTTACAGCTTATGACAATTTTTGTACCATAAGTTTTATGTGTTGTTTTCTTTCTTGCTTCAAAGTGTTAAGTACCGTGAACTAAGAGGAACACAGTATACTGGTCATAGATTAAACAGGCATCATAAACTTAAAATTGTTCTTGTCGAAATGTTTTTAAAAAACGTAATCAAATTGTAAAAGTATTGAATTGAAGGATAAAATAACATCATGTTTATGCTGCGACTTTATTATATAATTCAAAGAAATCCTTGGCTCGACACCTTGTTTTAGGTATGTTCCGCTTTCAATTTATCATACAAAAACATAATCAAAATGCAACTTATCTCTTGATTCCCCCAAAAAGTTGAACACTTTTTAAAATGTAAGATTGATACATTTATTGTCAATGAGTAAACATGGTTAAGCTGACAACTTTTTCATTTATGGCAAAGTGACGTAAACCTTTAAAATGAAATATCGGATATCTTTTCATATCTAAGCATTTCACGTTATTCTAATTTGTAACTGTTTATGTCACGAAATAAACCAGAAAATTAGGTTCTACTTTATTTTATCAGGTGTGAGTATTAAACCTGTGAAATATTTCCTTTTTTTAAATCAATATAATATTATTTTGAGGTAAACTGTTTCTGTTTACATCAATTAGACATTTTTATTTGTTCTTGCGACACATTTTACGTTAATAGATATTCGATTTAGAGTTTTCAGTCAGTTAAAATACGAAAATATTTTGGAAATTGTAATTTTTTTTACAAACTTGCCTTGAGTTAAAATGTGTTAAAATTCAGTCTGCTGCTGAAAAACTACTGAGGAAACAACACAATTGTACTTACAAGTTTATCAAAGTCATACTGGGTTAACGTTTGAAACACCGGAATTCTTACATCACTGAAAGACTGCAAAGCGCTGTAGGAGTTAGGAATTTCTGCTAAACCTGCAAAAACACAAAACACCGCAAACACGAAAGTGTAAAGACGCATGTTTATATGTTATTTCCTTTCTGTATTTTTTATACTTAATAAACTGAGTGTAGGTATCACAATTATTATATATTTTAGTCTTGTTATCACATGACCATTATGTAAAATATTTCATTGGTTGGTTTGAAATAAGGCCGGCTGAATAGTATATTATGGGTGTTATAAGTTGACAATTTTAAAAGTATGTAATTCATTAAGCTTCCTAATGGTTTGCTAATGAAGATAAATTTAAGAAAGGATTTTTATTTTTGCTCGATAATTGATTGGTCTAACATAAATTAAATGTAGGTTTACGTTTATTAGTACGCTAGATCAATTAGATTTTGTAAATGCTTATTGATGAACACGAACGAATTTGTTTTTGTTTTTTTAATTTTTTATACACAGTCGATATACTAGACTTATTTACCGATAAAATATAGCATAATTGTTCTACATTTTACCATTTAGTATGCATTTATACATGGCTCACAAATTCTAAATGATATTCTATTTACTTAAAGACTAAATGATATTTTCAAACAGACGAATATCTATTATGTGATTTTCGTGATCGGTCTGCTGAATGAACCTACAAATGAAAACACTGCAAGACCCAGTATTTCACAGCGTGAGTTTATTACCATTTCTTCGTTGAAATTGTATTGCTTGTAAGTTGCACTTTTGATACAGGTAATTTCTGTCATTAGAATAAAGTCTATAATTTAAAAAGAAATGTACCAGTAGGACAGTTTCTGGCACGCATAATCGTAAAGGTCAAGTGTAATATTAACTTCATGTATATCTTTATCAATATCACATCCATTATATATTATGTTCAACAAAAATTCATGCCATGAACAGCATGACTTTTCTAATTGATCAAATATATTGTTCTACACTCACGGGTCTGAACAGGCTTAATACTGTAATGCACTCCATTGTTGTATTTTGATATAAAAATCCCTGGAACTTAAAGCTGTTTAGGATTCAAAGCAGTGCGAATCAATAACATAAATTCACCACCTTAGGAATACAGGGAGGAACGAGATTCGACAAATAACTTAGTGTCCCACATGTCCTAAAAGAACTCACATTCAAGGATAGGTATGTGGTATTTGTTTTTATCCTAAAAACAGCTTGTCACAAGTTACATGCATATTATACAAGAAGATGTGACTTTGAAAACAAAAAATGAAAAGGATTATTATTTATTTGATTGCACTTAATTTTATAAATATACTTGAAATATAAAAACATGGATCATCAAGAATGTGGGCCATTCCATGAACGAATCCCCAACAAAATTCCAGCAACACGTAACCGCCGACAAGGAGCACAGCAGGATATAAGCTGTATATGATGATACATACTTTAATGCTGACTGAAATAAAACAATATTGAATGAGGTCTATGATTAATGTAAATGTGACAAAATTTATACCAATGAGTGATACAATAACTATGCTGACAGCATTAAATATATTACTTATTATGCTCTTAATTACATCAGTAGATAAATATATCTCTATGAACGTGATTCTGTAAAGAGAGTGATCATTGAGCGTTTTGTTCCTCTCATGTTTTTTTTACATAAGAATATGCCTTGTATTCTATCAGGAGTATGAGTGAGACAATGTGTAAAACTTACAGATAATGTACAATAAGCAAGTATTTGCATTATGATTAACAATACGTGTAAACACAAGGCCTTTCCATTGTACATTGTCAGAATATATCATGGTATAGAGTCAAATCATATATGCAGTGATAAACTTCAATTTTGTTGTGCTGTATCCTTTTGATCCAATAACCGCAATTTCTGTATATCACACCTTTTAGTTGGCATCATTGCTAAAACATAAACAACAAAAACAATCTTAAAATATCTTTTCATGCCACCTTTAATAAAAACGTGCTTTAAGAGTAGACCAAAACTATACAGAGAACACCCTGAACGCATATATCTTCGTTCCTTGAATCATTCAATGAATATCATCAAAGTTTGTCATTGAGATATTTTGAAATAAAATCTGGAAACAGAATAAATTCTATACAGCTAAAATTATGTATACATGTAAGATAATAATATGCTTATGCCATATTCTGTTTACCTTAAATTTCTATCATTTGCTATATAACTACCAGTATTTCTTTTCTTGGATTCCGTATGAAAGCTACACAAATATATGTATGGCATTTATAATCCGGTGAATGACCAAACAATATTAGACACTTTATATCCACTATTTCCGGACAATAGATGATACCAATTGTTGTATCGTAGTGTACTTTTTCATATTCTGCTTTCGTGGTTGCATTTGTAAGATATATATTTAAGACAAAAATATTCTTGGCGCTTTTTTGAAAGCCAATAGGGAGTGTTGCAGAACATCTTTGAAATATAATTAGCCATTGGATTTTTTTTTGAATAATCATTTGATGGTTCTGCATAAAATTGTAGTACTCAAACTGATTTTATGTTTTTTCAGTGTATCCGTGAAAATTATATTTGATAATTTCACAGTGAAAATTATCAAAATATAATTTCACACTTTTCAATGACGAAACTACTTTCTTAATATTTTCCCCATGTGGTACCTTTTTTATTTTTGCTGACAATTCTGACAATAACAGGCTGTTCAGAGAAAAGTAAAGCTGCAATTGAAAAGTAAAGCTGCAATTGACAAATAAGTTAAATGTCAAAAGTAATAAAAAGAAGGAAACTTTCTTCTATTCATTCAAGTATCCAATCACCAAATATGGTTCATTTTTACAGTCTGAAAAATACATTCCTTCCACATGCAAAACTGCTCTTGATGACATTTGGGCATATTTAAGTATCCTACGAGCAATTACTGCCGTATGCTTTATGAAAACTTGAAAAGCAATGACAGCCATCAGCCCGAAGAATAAGTAAACAACCCAGCGTTCTTTAGGCAGCCTTTCAACTTTCAAGTTTCCAAAATCCTTGCCTCTTTTTGAATGTTACACTTCTGTTAACACTTATATATTGTCTGTTACAATCTTCAAATAAGTTTTCTTTCTTTTAAAAAGTTGTATGACTAACATATCCAAATGTAATACCTCTGAATCAAACACAATTATTTTCCTCCCGTGAAATACACAACTTTTAAAAATGGCGACCGCTTACATTTAACAAAGCCAGGTCTAATATAAATTCGCAGTAAGTAACAGAAATGTGGATTGATAGTTTTACTTTTTCTTCTACTAGAATTGTTAATTGTTATAATTGTTTATTTTTACGCCACTCGTGAGAATACTGTTTTTAAAGCCCACACGATGAAATAAAATTTCATCTTACACACAAAACTGTCATAAATTTAGGGGAAATCATCTGAAAAATTCTCATGAACAGGTCATGCTTCATCGATCTTCATTTGTAACTTTGAGACATCTCTGAATTTCCAAGTTTCCACACACTTCTGTTGATTGATATTTGACAACAATGTTATTTATGTCTTTAAATTACGATATTAAATCTATTTTTGTGCAGTTATCACAAAGTATTAAAATATAACATTAAGCTTAATATTTCATCAAAGTGAAATGCTTAAATTAATCGCATCTTCTCTTATATTTCCGATATCTTCCTTTTAATCAGTGGATCTGGTGTAATATGAAATTAAAATGATTTCCGATTAAAGTTACAAATAGAAAATCATAATGCATCTTTATGCTGCAAATTGTATAAAATTAAAAAAATGTTCGAAAATTTGTTAATTAACTGTACTAATATATATATATACATAGTTACATATTTTCACTTGGTCCTTTTCGGACTTATACTTACAAATAAGATAATCGATACTTACAAAATCGATTATCGACCCGGAGAATATAAATATAAAGTCTTTTTAATACCCTATAAACTTGCCCGTTTAGTATGATCAGTATAAATCAGTTAATGAAATTTTAGGGAATTGTAAGTTTTATATTGCAATTGCATTTTCATCAAAATTAATATTACTTTCGTATTTTTAAGGGATAAATACTTATAATGCACAGTTGAGGTTAATGCTCTTTTAATTTAATTTCAAACATGCTGAAAATATAAGAAGTGGATTTTGACAATGTATCTGCCAGTGTTTTGCAAATATTCCGAAATAAAATCTTACCTGTCATTTGTATATATTCGTATGAAGACTGAAAAAAGATGTTTGTGTCTTTCTACTTAATCATTTAAATTTCATAGCATGCATTTTGTTGTAAAAAGCAATTTGCTATTGAGTTGGTTAAGCGACTGAGCGACTTGTAAAGCAAGGTGAAGGCAACCGTTGCCAGTCAAATACGGCGGTCCACATTGAGCGTATATATTTATACGGCCTGTCTATACATCCTCTGTCTCTTGCCCTTACAATATTGAGACCTTTTAGTGATTCATTTTGAATACTTGCTGGTTAGTCTTGTTTCAATACATTTTCGTATGTATTATAATGCCTAAAACAAAATATAACAAAACAGTTACTTAATATACATTTATGTCCAACTAAGGGTAGTGAACAGGTGAAAGTAAAAAAAAAAATGCAATAAATACCTTTCAAATTTATAATTTACTTCGCACGGGACGATAAATAATTCATGTGCCACATGGAAATTTCTATAATTAACTAATGTTCAGTTTTATAATAACAAATGATTTGAACAACCTTTTTATATTTTAGGCAGATGTATAGTTTATTCATATCAACTGTTGGGCAATCATCATTAACTCAGTCAATCGTTAGTAATATATAATCAATTTAGCCGAACTTGACAATGAAAAAAAGAGCAGAATGCCACTTAAATATAAGTAAAAAAGAAAGAAAAAAAATAATTATAATAATATTGATTATAATAATATTGATAATAATAATAATATAGGGTTAACGCACGTTTTTCCGCAGAGTCCCGAGGAACGGTTGGTGCCCGAGCCCGGGAGGAACGGTTGGTGCTCCAACAGTTCCGAGGGACTCTGCAGACTTTATAACACGAAATAAACGTGCGTTGACGCTATTATAGCATACAATTTTCAAAGAGATTCGTGATGTATAGTTTATACAAAACACAATTACATTAAATTCTTGTGCTTGGACGG